TGCTTCGTTATCCAAGGTAATACTTGACAACATTTTTAATCTTTTTGTACATATAAAGAATATAATATTTTGATTTTAATAGGTATATACTCTTCGTGAAAAAGGCGTGTGAGAAAGAAGGTGAAATTATGTTAGAACAAGTTCTAAAACATGGGTATATAACAGCTTCTGAAATAATTATCAGGACATATAAAAGAATAGAACAATCACCTTGTACGTAAATTCATATTTTACAGTCATTACGATAATTAGTCAAACGTATTTGTATGAATTAATCATATTTTTAGCTGACATGCAACCATCAGTATCTGATTTAAAAGATACATTTGAATTGTTAGTCAAAAACCAATTTTTGATGCGTAGCTTGTATACAGAATCAGCAGAGAGAAGATCAGCTGAGAAACCTGATTTCACAGTACCAGACTTAAACTTAACTGCCATTACTAAAAGACTGGAAGGAGTGGATAGTGATGCTGGAGACAGTAAAATATATTGGACAGTAAACTTTGATCGAATTAATCAAGATCTTAGGTAAGATTTATAAAACGTATAATGATGATAAAACATATCAGCAATTTGCAATGTAATCTATAGGGATGAAATTATTGTATCAGCTATGCGTAAAAGACTTGACGAAAATGCAGCAGAATTGATGAGGCAGTTACTATTTCTTATGTACTTGCGGACAGCATCATGGGCACATACATCGAATCCGATACCGTTTACAGAAATAAGAGACGCAATTAAAAAAGTGAATTATCCTCTACTTGCGCAACATCTTGATCAATATTTACGTCTTATTGGTATGGACAATAGGTCTATAGAAAAGGTTTCGTAAAAAGTTTCATATTATAGAAAATGTTGCATTATGTTTAAAGAAATATATCATTTTAGAAGAGGATACTAGTCAGTTTTTGAAACGAGTAGGAGACTCTGGAGGTGGTCAGTATAGCGTTAACATGAAGGAAGCTTTTACTCAGTTAGCATGGACGACATTAGACAATATTGTAATGGAGCGATTTGGTTCAAAGGCAGCTAGAATCTTCAGGTATAAGGAAAAACATTATGTTTTGCAGGACTTTATCAAAACTTAAGTGAAGCTAAACTCTCGTTTTACTGAATAGATTAGTACGTGACAGGAAGTATATTGAGCAGGAACAAATCCAGCAATTAGCTATGATTCCTGCAAAAGAGGCTAAACATCTCACGTACACTTTATTACAAGAGAATTATCTGCAAATGCAGGAAATAAAGAAAGCTGGTGTGTCAGCAGCGCCGATAAAGACATTCTTTCTATTTCATATCGATTTGAATTTGGTCATTCGTATGGAAGTGGAACATTGTTATCATGCATTGTACAATACTATGCAAAGGCGGGAGTATGAAATAAGTAGTAATAAACGCATGATCGATAAACAATTGCGAATGCAAACTCTTACGAGTAACCTGAAAGAACACGGTGCTACTGAGGAGCAATTAGCTGAGGTGGATATAATATTCATTACTATATCAAAAGCAATTGTACGTACGATAGTAAAATAATTGTTTACAGATCGCAGATATGATGACACCATCTGAAAAGCAACAATTGGAAAAAGTTCAAAATACGATTAAGAAACTGGGGATGACTGAATTGCAGATAGACGATACTTTATTCCTTTTGATGATGTATTTACGTTATCATTGAATAAAGATATTTCTTTGTAGATGTATCATGGTACTATTTCTGAATAATGGTGCATACTTCTGTGCTGCACGATGTCCCGAAAAAAGTACATGAAGTTTCGTTCATTTATATAGTTATTTATTTATGTATAATAATGGTTACGCTTGTAAAATACAAACAACAAAGAATACCTAACTTTCAAATTATTATAATAAATATAATCATATACCTATGTTTATAATAGTGCTGTTCTCTATGTGATACAGTGCAATTGATGTCACTATCTATCAGGGAAAATGATCTTGGAGTACACACCTTTTGAACATTCTACCAGTGACACAAACACTTTCGCGTAATTGTAATTATACCTTTTGATCTATGCAATATGAATGTATATGTTAGTCCATTAGAAACAAATTATTAGAGTTATGAATCACAGCCAGCTCAAGGTGCCTTATACTTCAGTAAATAAGTCGAACGCTGCAAGTGCTATTTATACAATTAGCTAAAACATAATTCAATTACGGTATGTAAAGACTGGAGACCATCGCTTTTTGGTGTGTCGGTTATTACCGTACGTTTTACTTCCAAGTATGATTTTCCCTTAATTCCTATCATGTGCTTTTGTACGTTCGTCTCAAGACTACCGCGACCTAAACTATGATTTCATTTCGGGATGTTACTTATAAGTAATTAAAATTTGAAGTGCGCAGCATTATCAATGAAGTTTCGCTGCTATTAAATATACGTAATTTGATTGCACGCCAATTATTATTGATACCAATTGATAATAAAATGTACTACAGTCTGTCGCGAGTAGTGATAAGACGAGTGAGCCTGTAATCGCATCCAAACATGCATTTGACTGATTTTATACTCTTTTCTTCCTCTCAACACATATGTATACATATAGTGTGCGGGTATTCGAAAATTTTGGGCGAGTCTCGGATTGGGTCAGGTCGGGCGATATTTCCAAAGTTTGACAAGCACATTACTCGAGACCCGAATTCAATTCGGGACTCGAAACATGATTCGGGAGCCGTCAGTACATCCGCAGATTTTTGAAAGTGTTTTCATATGTTATAATGTGTAATCAAAATGCAGTGACGGCTAGCGAAATCAGTTTTGAGTCTCAAGTCAAATTCGAGTCCCGAGTTGATGTTCGGGTCCGGAAATTACTGGCATCCGAACAAAATAATGTGCTTGACAAACTTTTGGGATTCCGCTCGAACACGAAAAATATTCCCGACCCGAGACCGACTCGAATTTTCGGGTATCCGCGCACACAGGCGTCCATACTCTCTTCTCGTATTCGTTTCTCATTTACACGATTACTGCATGAACATGAACTATATACACTGCACGTACATACAAGTTTCTTCTAGAAATAACGTTGTAGACCTAAAACTATGGTTGAATTTCGATAAAGCGTTATTTTATTATATTTTTTTTCATACCATTAACAACAACGTACATGTAAATGAAGTGAATTCTTGGAATATTGAGATTGGATGTTAGTGTTCATCTTTTTTTCTTCATTACGTTAAGTATATTATTAGTATTAGTAATGTATTAATTTTACAATTTACTATCCTTACAGTTTGCATTCGCACTGGTTGCATTTTCCTTTCTTTCAAAGACCGATAAGTTTACAGCGAGTGCTTTGAGATTATCGTCGAATCTATATACAAAAAAAAGTAAGACAAATAAAAGAAAATGGAAGTAGAATTACTTAGAATCGAGCATTATCAATGAATTGCTTTTTTTCCTTCTACTTTTAATGAGAAAAACTAAACGTTCGATCGCGCGATCGCAGTCCATGGAATGCAAAACTGAGATTGTTCCTAAAGTGTTGAGGGAATCGATGAGAATTTGACGATGGTGACACGAGCCAAGTTTTTAACTAGGTATTTGTAGGCATTTCGAGAAATCTCAGCTGAAATAAGACAGAAAAAGATCGGAGAAAAATGCAAATTGTCGTGGAAGATTATAAATATGGCACAATAAGGAAAGATATGTAAAGTGGCTATGTATCTTCCACAATGAACGTTTGATTGATATGTCGATTAATTAAATATTCAAATGAATAAGGCTGATCTGCTCTTTGGGGATGAAATTGGCGGGAGAAAGCATATTGAAAAGAATAATTTGAGAAATTCAATTATTTAAAAAGAAATGGAGAAATATTTAATGCAAGTGCACATTTTGATATTTCAGAACGTGATAAGAAAAAACTATTACTTCAATATAAGCGTAATGTAAAAAAATTCTAATCTTTTTGTTGCGTGAACGATACGACACTGAAAACCTTCTGAGTATTCGAGCACGCAAACGATCAACGAACTTCGTGTCGCCGTTGTCATTTGAACTGGCACGTAACAATCTCTATTGCTATTATGTAGTAAATCATTTAAAAAAAGAAGAGAAATACTATAACATTAATGATAATAATCATACTAGTAATAGTATTAAATAAAACTAACCAGACAATAAAAATATTAAGGAGATATAATAAACATAATAATGACCAAAATGAAAATAAGAATATGCATCGCATTTTTAACATTTCGTTAAATCTACGTGTTCTCGAGTAAATTACATGTAATATATAGCGCTATGTAAGATACATCACAATATAGTTACACTGTACATTCAATAGTATTGACACTTTTCATTACGTCGGGTCGGCTTTTCTTCCTCTCTGCCTTTCGCTCATCCGTTCTTCTACACGTATACTCTCTTTCGTTTCGACTAATGTATCGCCAACGCAGTTGTACAAATCTATGTATATACATAAAATAAATTATTATCAACATTAAGCTATCCTATCTGCCGCCGACCGCGATGTATTCGAGAAGCACCCGGACGAAACGCGGGCGCAGATATATCGAGGATACTGGCTCTCTTTATAAAATTAGGTACCTTGTATAGAATTGCACTGATTATAAATAACAAAAGAAGAGAAAAGGAAAAACGGTGAAAAAAGGAGACGTAGAAGTTATCGAGTTTTTCACGTCGAGCCAACTCTGCCGACCAGGAAACCGGATGGGAGGTTCTGTCGCCTACCACTTCCGATCCAAGAAAACGCTATTTGGCACATAAATATTATCACAACGAGCTCCCGATCATTTCCTTTCTTTTTTTCGATTTTTGTTTTACAAACTACGTACGAGACTTTGCACCCTACACTTTTTAATATACTTTATTTCTGCTCAGTTTATTCTTTTCCGATAACATTCATTTTTAACACCTCGATAAACAACGGTTAATTTGATTCTTTGATCGATCCGTCAGATTTATCGTGCTCTCACGAAGCTTGCACGTACTCGAAGGAAGAAAAACGGAGAGTAAAAACGTAACAGCGTATGTGTCCGGAAACATCGAGAAACAAAAAACACAACGTCGTATTAGAATTTGATTATTCGTTCGTTTACATCGTTTACAATAAATAACGCTAATTCCCCCGTCCGTAATTTTATACAGTAACATTGTACTAAAAATTGATGTCACGCGTGCCACTCTCTCTTTTAATTCATAATTCCATTCTTTCTATACGCACACACACCTACGCGCACATACATACTTCCTTCCCTTTCGAAACAGTGTACTTCTCTTTAAACTTGGTTTCTTCTTTATTAAAAAAAAAAAGAAACAATCGAAAAATTCTCTTCGCCTGGTCTGTTTCACGCTCGCTCCCATTCCGCCGTAAATTCATTCCGTCTTCTTGCTGTCGGCTAATCATCGTTAATGTTAGTGCCCATAAATTAATTGCAAAAAATACTATAAGTACAAGTACGTGTGTTTTAGACGTGAAACCAAGTGATCAACACACATTACGACTCGAGCGCACGAATCGCGTGACGGAATACAGGATTCGAACCTTTTCTTCTTAGAGCTCCTGCGGCATACAGGATGTATCAGCGACCGATTGCATGAGAATGCAGAAAAAATTGAGTGTCCACCGTGAACGTGGGATACATTACATACGATCTAATAACGTTTGTTTCAAATACTTGAAGATGTGCGAGACAAACGGACAGCGTGGCTTTCTCTTTTTCGTTCCCTCGTCTTCTCTTTTCGCGTTTAAATTTCATTGCGTAATTTTGTGCATTCATATTCTCGCGTATCGACACGACCAATCGGAATGGTGTATCATCAGAGAGGCACACGCATGCACACATACACACACACTAGAAGGAATAGGAACAAGACTTTTTGGCCGCTCTCACCGTATTTTAATTTTCGTACACACACTCGCACGTGCACATCCGAAATATGTACGTGTCGCGAACGTCTCCGCGCGGTGTGTTCGACACACAATTTCAAACCAAGCTCGATCAACCATCTGCGCTGCTGATTGCATCGGATCAATCCTCCTGGCGCGCGCGTACACGTGACACATGGCAGTCTTACGAAAAATCAGGTATGTATATATATATATAATATGTATATATATATTTTTTATATTTATATTTATTCATTTTATTTATTTATGTATAATCCTATCGTTCTCTCTCTCTCTCTCTCTCTCTCCCACTTTCATATCGTTCCCGCATACGGAAGACACTCGCGGGATGGATACCGGCATGCGTTTTTACACGCGAGTCGTTAACTTCTTGAGAATTCTATTCATACGCCTGTATATCATTACCTAGAATGTTACTCAATGACGATCAGACCTTATCATCGTAGATTTCGCCGTCTTGATTTTGATTACACTAACGCGGTAGACATCGAATCCGTTCGTGCAGTCGCTGTGTTTATTCTTTTGCCCATCGTGGACTAAAGGTCTATCGATCTCATTTCGTCACTTCGGTAATAATATAACTAAGCAGGAAACGATCAACCTCGTCTGCCGCTATCAACCCCGCTGATGTTCACTGATGTTCTCCGAACAGTTAGTCGCACGTAACAGGCAATGAAGGAAGTGGTCGACCTGCTCATATCATCGCACTGTTCTAAAGTTTAAACTTCGTGTGGTCCATGGATGCGCACGATTCCTTACTTGCGTGCTCGAGCTCCGAGCGTCGTAACGATTACGTTAGACGACACGACGACGGTATTCAAAGAACCAGTACTCGGGGCCTCTACGCGTTGTACGATGGCACAGAATTGAATCGATTAGTATATCACAACCTCAATGAGCGAGGCTTCGAAACGCTCGATCACTCTTGGAGAACGTTCATACCCGACGACTCTATACGTTGTTCACACGGCGTAAACTAGTACACGTTGAACCACCAGAGTTCGGAGACATTTTACCAGAATAATTCGTGGCTGAGTCGCGACGTTGACGTTGATGACGATGATGCTCCGGGCGGCCATAGCGGCTGACCCGGAGCCGCGGTTCAATCCTCGTCGTGATGCCGTGGACTGGCGTCATAGCCACCGATCGAACCGGAGTTCTCCGGCGAGAAATTCATCATATCCGTAGGCGATAGGCTGTCTTGCGGGTAGTAAAAGGATGGATGATCCGAACTCGGGCCGGCTCCGCCGCCGTTTAGCATGGTGGCCGGGGGCGACACAGATGGTTTTGCCGACGGTCCGGCTCCCGATCCTGGATGGTGTTGAGAGCTCATGTCCGAGCCGACCGGAGACAGGAAACTCATTTCGGGTCCGCTGTCGCGACACCAGAGCTGCCTCATTTCTTGCCGCCGTTGCCGCATCAGCGACTTGTACTCGGAAATCCGCATCTTCTTGCCGTCCACGATACAGGTCCGCTTCGGTCGCGGCCTGTACCTGTAATCCGGGTGCTTTTCCATGTGAAGCTTCGACAGTCGGGATTGTTCCTCGTAGTACGGTTGCTTCTCGGAGTTCGACATCGCTTTCCATCGAGCGCCTGTAGAGGAGAAATTAACATGATTAAAAATTAACTGACCAATTTTTTAGCTATACAGTAGACTCCCGTACGACGCGAATTCTTACTCTTAGAGGAGAAAACTTCTCGCAAAACATGATTTCCGATGACGCGAATTCATATATCGCGTGACGTATTAACCACGTTATAGTCTACTGTAATTCTACGGAAAGTAAGGAAACAAAGTACGTGTACTTACCGAGTATTTTTGAAATGTTTGAATTATGCATATCCGGGCAAGCTTTCAGAATTTTTCTACGCTCGTCCTTGGCCCATACCATGAACGCGTTCATAGGCCGTTTGATATGTGGCTTGTTCTCACCCTCCCTCTTCTGCTGCCTCACCATTTTAGCTGAACAACAGAGAGAAGAACGTGTTAGATGTCAACGGTGTCTCGGTCGCTCGGCTTCCTCCCGTGAGAAGCGAATCTAATTTCGTGAGCATCACCTGGTGCTCGTTGAAACAAAAGCGTAAACGTCAGCCTCGTTGGCTCGTCAAAAGACTGCTTACCTTTCTCCGTTATGTCTTCCGGTACCTTGTAACCCGGTTCCCGCCACACTGTAATTTCAGAATATCACCTCTTGTTATAATTTGCAACGGCTAATATTAGATCTGTAGATTATTTTAAGAAATGGTACGAAACTAAGTCTATTCATGATTGAAATGCAACTGAGTCTATACAATAGTTACGACATTTACGTATTTATACGCAGAACTGGTTATACGTCGATGTAAAAAGAAAGAAATTAACGCAATACTTCTGATATGAACCCCATAATCTTAAGTACATACGTGTACCTATGTTATGTAAATTGTAGTAAGAGAATTATTTAAAAAAAAATAAAATATATTTACTATGAGGCGTCGAGAGATAATCCTGTTCCTCTTGCGCAGCCTCTTCTCGGGAACTTGAGTGCTTCATCGGTCGTTGAGTCTGCGGCGACGGGGGCATCGCAGCGCTCGGTGGTATCGCGTAAATGCCATGCATCGCGAAGTGTTTTTCAACGGCAGCGACCGCTGCAGCTGCCACGGAACCTCCAGGTCCAGCAACTTCGTCTTTGGCCATTACCTTACCCACTGTAATGACGATTCATAAACGAGATAAGTAATGAGGCAACAAAATATTCGAGGTGTGCGACTAACGTTATCACGTATATTTGTGTTATCAACATAACGTTAGCATACATATTTGTACGTACAAGAAAGAATATACTGTGATCGATAGCTTCTGTTTTATTATGTAAGATCTTCCATTTACTGTACTGACATATACATATTATAGATATGTATGTATATTCTTATTTATAAGTGCTTAATGACGAAGTTTTCCGTTTTCTTAAAGTATCTGTAGAAATGTCGACGAACGGATGCATTTTACTCAGCAATCTGATATTATAATATGTGACAGCTCACGGAATTCGCGAGCTTGCATCTTCCTCAGTCTCCTCTTTCTTTTTTCCTTCTCAATCTTATCCGAGGGTACGCAGTGTACCGATTCTTATCTTAGAATCGCGTTACGCATCGCTGGCTGTGCTTTAACCGAAAGCAAAAACCGGCCGCGTAAAGGAACAGGTTTTCTTCGTTTAAAAGAGACGAAAAAGTCAATCGCGAACAATCAGGTAAAGGCACGCATACTCGAAGATAATTAACCGTACGTTCTTGATCGTGTGTACTTATATTCTGTGGAGTATTGATTAGTTTCTTATTTTCAAATCGAGTCTGCGGTCTAGCTTCTCCCTACACTATGTTGCGTTTCGAAGGACCAGAAACGACCGGCTGCATTGCGTGCACTGCAGGATACGACGAGAACAGGTATTTATTCCACATTCGTGCGACGAATCGGAATTTCTACAAGAGTCCGCGCATTTAATGACGGAATTTATTATGACTTCTATCTCCTCCATGTTGAGCTGATTATTGAAGTAACACTGATCAAAGCAACCGATTATACTCATAAAGTAATCTAATGCCGGTTAATTATATACTGTTTTGCTTTATAAATTTTAAATGATTGTTGTTTGGTTCTGTTAATTGACTCTAATGTTGATCGATTACTCTATTTCTAAATAATGAAAAGTTGGTTCGTTGCGCAGTTTTTTACAGTATGAACATATCTTTTACCATGAAAGGCGGTAGTGGACAATAAATAAAATTTATTTACACGTCACATAGTAACTCTTCTAGTATTGTGTCCACGACTGCATATTAGTTTTCTGTTACATTATACGCATGTATTTAATAATGTTTCTGAATGTATATGAAAATAATACTTACTCGGAGATAGATGCGGTGGCAGGCCCCCCGATCCGTAAGGCAGGGTTGTTAAATAATTCCGCGGCATCGGTAAACCGGGTGGAAAGAGTTTTGGCGCGGTCGCAGCGAGGGGTTGCTCCTGTTGACCGCCGCTTCCGGCCCCGGTCGAGTGGGAATCACTTCCAGGCGACGAGGAGGATGCCGTAGCCCCTGACGAGGAGGATTTTGGTTTGGTAAGGTTTAAAGGTGCGTCGAGATCTTGTAGAGGAGGAGCAGTGGGTGCCACCGCAGATGAAATCGGCGTCGGGGATGCCTCTTTCTCCATCTGCGTGGACATCTGCGTAAGGTGCGCAGTTGCCCAACTCGGTCCTTCCCGGTGGCTACTGATCATCTAAAATGTTATTAATAATGATTAGTCAACGAATATTCCTTGTTTATCTTTTCATTTCTTGTGCACAATATTGACCGTTCCACGAAGTATGGTAATTTTGAAAATAACAATTTCACGTTTTACTCGAATCAAGCATTTATACATTATTCATCACTTATGATATTATTCACCACTAATGTCTTTAAAAAAGAACGCTTAAATTAAAGTGATTCTGGAGTAGGACAAACTGGAATTACTAGAAAAAGTTATTTGCATTCATTTTTATGAACATTTAATTAAATCCGTGCATTTACCGATGATTAATTTATTAGCTTGTGTGAAAGTTCATCCTGTTATGTACGTGCGATTAAAGGATACATAACGGAGGAAACATAATTCGTAGTACTCTGTGACGGATATGTAGCAAGAACTTTGACGCAGCCGCCAAAATTATCATATATACTTCTAAAAATAAAAGATAAAATCCATCATAGTCGCATTTCATCCGTAATTATGTCTATCCTGTATAAGTTTTTACTGCGTACAGGAAGATGGCAAACACCTAAATGAAACTAAATTATTATAAAATCAGCTTCTATTTATATTTCAATTTTTGATTACTAATCTTGTGACTCTTTTGAACACGTAATAATATATGTATAATGATAAAACGAAAATTATAATAAAATATAAAATTCTTCCTATTCAGATTTAACCCCTCCTGGGGTGATTGTGAATAGCTCTAATTCCTCTTATTTCTGAAGGTTAAAAACGGAAAATCAACCTCTTTTGTATGCACTGTTCTCTTTATATGCCTAATAAAAAACGGTGGTTTTTGTAGTTTTTTAGTACTAACATATTTCATTTTTTATTTATTATTCATTCCTAAATGTTTGTCGGTTCAAACACTGGGCATAAATTTTTATCTCAGTTCTTAAATGGTTGGCGAAGATATACAAGAAAAAAAATTGTATCAAATTCTATGAATCTTCCCCTACTCCAAATCTTTCTCTTTACGCAGTTTTTACAGTTTCCTTGTTAGTGGCGCCACCTATGTCGCGATAAATTTTTAATTCGAACGAATGAATAACTATAAAAATGTCAAGACATCAGAGACGCGTAGTCGATTGCAGACGATTTTAATCAATGTTAAACGTTGAAAGCAGGGATATTGGGATTGCAGGCGACAATAGGTCTACGTACGTTAGCGATCGAATTGATATGTTTGTTGGTGGTGGTTGACGTCGACGTAGCCGGCGGTGGCGGCATAGGCGATTGCACTGGCAACCCTCTGAGTTGTTCGAGAAATGGCAGGAACATCAAGGATTGCGGCCCCGACATGCTCAGCTGGCTCTTTGTCATCTGAGCTTGTAACTCCTGAATGCTGTGCTGCATGATGTGCTCTTGCTGCCGCTTCAAGTGCTCCGTTTGTAGCCGCTGTATCTCGATTTGCTTCTGCGAGTCGACGGTCATATGCGCAGGATACGACTGCAAAGCCATGGGATGAACAATTAGAGGGATGATGAACCCCGTTGTGTCGCGGGCAAAAAACAAAGAATAACATTTTTCTCTTTTCCTTTTATTTCGGTTTGTAAAGAATGGAAGCCAACGTTGGCTGGTGCTCGGTACACGCTCATTTTCTGCTTTTCTTGGAATCACAAAAACAGTGCAGTGTCACGTTGAATTTATGGAAATTGTTAGACGCGTGGGTGACTTTATTCTTTGGATAGGATTTCTTTTGTAAGAATTTCAAGGAAACGAATTTCGTTCAGAAAAGTTAAAGAAACAAAAGAAGGATACCATGAATCGTATTTGAATTTGGAGCGACATTGATTTGTGCGTGTAAACATTTAGAGATTAATTATGGAGCTTCTCAATATAAAAATTATTAAAAATTATGCATATGAATTCCAACCCAATTGGATATTGTTTATCACAAAGGAGATGAAAGCGAACGACGTGTATTATGTATGTCTATTATTCTTGGATCGTGATATCTACTATTAATTTTTATTGAAATACTGGTGAAAACTTGTTTGAACGCGCAACGAGGCGCTATATTACCATAGAACTTATACCAGATCATCGCTAATGACCACACCGTTATACTAATACGGAGAAAAGCGCGTTATAACGCGAACTTCCTGGTGATATTAACAAAGACATAAAGTCAACAATTTACTTGCTGTCAGAAATTAAACAGCTTAGTTTAACCGATAGATTTCCCGCAGAGATCGGGACGAAAACGGCTTTTTTCATGTGAACACCAACGACCAGAGAACCAGTTTTAAACTAGATTTTCCTAGAAAGTGTAATAAAAAGCATATGCACGTATATTAAACTCTAATTACCAGTTATCTGCCGCGTCAAACGGAAACCAAACGTAACGAGGTATGCGTTAAAAGAAATATACTAGATATTATCGTAACGTGATAACGCGAGTCGGTGGAAGTCTGCCGGATTTAACCTTTTAGTTGAACGAAACGTGCTACTCGTATTTATGAACATTCCATGCATTGTGCGCGTTATTTAATTTGCGGCCGAGTATAATTGACTCACGCTTAATTCTTCTTTTCCACGCGCGTCCCTGATGATCGAGTTTTGACGTATTGTTCCGACGATTTGCATTGAATGCGCGTGAAGAACTATAAACGTGCGATCTTAAACACGTAACCAGACTGGCCGTTTCGATTAGTCCACGATTATTAGTTGCACAATCAGTACAATAGAAACTGGTTAATTCTGTTCGTGGCATGTAGTCGAATTATTTGAGGTTTTTGTTGCCCGACATTATTATATTTTTAGCGGTGTATCACAGGTCAATTTAAGTCGTCGCGATTTGTCGAACGTTAGATTGGATAACGTGTAAATATCGAAGAATACAAACAAATTTTAGTGAAATAATATAATTAAATAAATAGTGAAATGCAGTGTAAGAACAGGCGAGGGTGTACGTGGGTGAAGTGAGTTATATGAATTCCAGACAAAATTTGGTTTTGATTTGCTTCGTTGGATTTTAATGAGTAACTAAAATAAACAGAAATATCAAGAAAAGTGCTGAACGATATTTGATGTACCAATATTAAAATATTCAAACGAGTTACAGGAAATTGGTTTTTATTATTCGCAAGAGTATTTAAGCGATCAATATGTACGTAATAGATTATTAACACAATAATCACATAAATCATTTATCATTTACTTTACTGTGTCTCGTTTCTGCGAGACTATTTTCTCTGACAGTTTTTGTGAATACATCAACGACCGTTTTCTTGCAGAACTGGGACGCGAATACACGCCTCTCTCAGTGGCAAAGGTTAAGGTGGCCACTGTTCGAGCCGAATGGAATATTTCTTTTCCAACTTCGTTCATTAGTCAGAGCAAGTTACTAGTTGCTGCTATTAATTCAAGGCGACAAGTTTTCAGCGTGATGCCCTCGAGTAACCACCGCGCCGGTGTAACAACTCAACATGGCTAATATCATTGTACTTTTCTACGACCTGGCTGTGGTCCAGATATGCCTGAAGTTTAAAGTCTATTTTAGACGATAAGGAAGACGTTTATTCATCCAGCCTGGGCACCAGCTGAAACGTCACACATGCGCGATATTAGGCGCTCCTGTGTCTTTCTCATACTCCGCTGCTCGCCTTTCCACGCGTGATTATTAATCTACGACGCTCAATGTGAGATCGCGGACTTGCTGATTTACGATCGCCGCAGGACATGCGGTTTTGTTGAATAAAACTATTCGTATTCCTCGCGAGGGAAATAACAGGGCGTTGCTTTTTAAAGTGAATAAGAAGCGTTTAATGTTAATTTTTGTTCAGGATTCAACGTTCATTTTTCCTGGTTCGATGAAAATAAATCATTGTTTTGTTAACATTTAATATGAGTGGAGGAATAAAAATCTAATTGTCACGTTGAATCAAAATGTATCGAGACAGATGTTTATCATAGCTTAAAAGTCGAGTCACCAGTTTTCTTGAGGCCGCTTCGTGAATGAACTGAGCTGAGCCACTTCGTAAGGGTGTGCGCTTCTAAAAATATCATGGCATGAAAAACTGGTGAAACAACCAAGAAATATCACTACTCGCATTCTTACAATGATGAATATTCATAAAGGCATCTTTTCTTGGATAATAAATCTCGATTCCTTTCAACGATCTCGTTTTTTTCTTTTGTAAAACGAAAAAATTGTTCGCTGCTCAATTTAAGATGTCCGTGAAATGTAGTTCATAAATGCGCAAGAAAAACAGTCAACTAAAAAACAATCTTAACAGAAAAATGCTGATATCCAATAGTAATGTTTAGGCTGCATTGTCTCTAGAGTATCAACATCGACTCTACAATATTCATTTACATTAACTTCATCCGCACATTAAACGGCCGCTGTATGGAAATGCACTCGTTAGAGTTAATTATTCTCGCTGCGGCTCTAATTGCTGTGTTGTGTGCGTCGCAAAAAAAAAAGAACAACGCGGAGATCGCATGAAGAACCGGCCGCACAATTAGTTTTTTTCCATGCTTCTCTCTGTTCACACATGATCCACGGTTGTCGATGACGATTAGATCAGCAAGATTTTTCACAATTGGACGTGGAAGTCGACGGAAGAATGGCAAACCGGAGTTCATTAACGAATCCGTCGACGTGGTCGTGATCTTCGCCAGTGCGACGACACGGGAACCATGCGAACAATGCCCGATGTCGGACAATATACGAGCGTGCAATTTCGGGACCACCATTCTAACCGTGCGCGCGCTATAATCAGCATAACGGCACTACGGCCGAATGGAACTTCATTATTCATTTGCAAAGTTCAGTTATGCCGAAGATACGTATCCATGACAGCTATACCGCCCACAGTGGCTAAATATAAACAGGCGGGGTGCCAGCAAGTTCCATTCACATTCACGTACACATGGAAGGGACGCGCGCGCCAGTTCGTGTAAGTGAGCATAAGAATATGAGGAGCCCCGTTCTGAATATGCATCCGCGCATTGACGCCAACTGCACCGGCCTAAACTTAGCCGCGCAATTACCGAAACATACCTACCCCCATAATCGCTCTTCTGCCGGTTATCTCTGCCGTTCCCTCTCTCCTATCAAACCTAATATCACGTCACACCAATTTATGAGAGTAATTGTGTGATGCATAGTAACAACTGTACTTTACAGAGGGGAGGTTTGTTAACATTTTTTAAGTCAATAATTGTATGTTATAATTTTCTTATTATTCATTTAAAAGGGAATTTATAAATAAATTTACTTAACGCTAAATAAGCATAGCATATTCCGGTGCTTCTTATCAAATTCATATCACTATAAAGATATCAGAAAGTGATGCAAAATGGTCAAGAGTAACGTTGATTTTGAATACTCATTTGTCGAGTTAATTAATATCGTTTTCTTTTTTAAACGTGGCTAATATCAGAGAAAGTCGAAAATTGTTTTATATTATTATGTTTGGCAAAGTCGACGAGAGAAAACGTGTCGCATGGCATGATCCTTCGTTGCACTCGCGGCCGGCCGGTAACGAAAGACGAAGGCTAAAGGCCACGAAATTTGAATCTACATTTAGAATCGGAGCCACTGGAGTGCAGGGGGACATGCACGGGGATGACGTAGATCCACCGGAAGCGGTTCATACTTCACGTGCGTTATAAAGACTGTCACTGTGGCACTGTCTAAAATTACGACGGGACCAGCCAACACAGTAGCTTGCATACAACCCAGCTGAAAGCTGAATCGAAGGTACGGTGTCCGTGCCGCGATGTACCCGAATTCCCTCCCTTTTTTGTTTCTCCCTCTCATTCATCCCTCGTATGAATGCGTTCCCGTTCGGTTTCTAATATTGTCACGCGGATCGATCGAGAAACGAACGGGAAACGAAACGGATTCATCTCGTAAAATATGCAGTGCGAAACGAGCGAGCGGCGAACAGAGAGAAAGAGCGTGCGGCGACAAAGAAAAGCCGTTGGTCTGCACTCTTAATGGAATTTTAAAAGAGCGAAGCCAGAATTCGACGACACGCAGGGGTAGCCTGGGGATACATAAATTATGGACTGCTTTGAACGGGATTCGCCCGCTCGCTTCTATCGTAGCCGGCCGATGCTCCGTAATGAAACTTGTGAATTCGGAATCTAGGGCAACCGGAAGTGGTATTTTCGTGGCCGAGGCTTTTCCATCCGGGGAACAGGAGAACGTGGATGGTTGCGCGTTATTGCCAGGGACTTCCGAGCACCCTCGATGATTCTTTATGACGAGGCGAACAGGGAAAGCTGAGCTTTAGTCAGGTTTCTGTGGATAAGGTCGGGATATAGGAATTTATGCTGCCTTATATCATAGACTTTAAAGGAAGTATTTTTCAATATTGTTGAATTAAAAGGAGTCGTATTTATGGCCTAATATTATTGCCATTTCTAAATTATATTTCATCTTTGCAAGATGATTCATATTTACGTGTCCCTCAATTGCGCAATGCGCATCA